GGAAAGAGAGGGAGTGAGGGAGTGAGAGAGAGAGAGAAAGAGAGGGACAGAGAGGAAGAGAAAGAGTAAGAGAGAGAGAGAGAGAGAGGAAGAGAGGGAGAGAGGAAGAAAGAGAGAGGGAGAGAAAGAGAGAGGGAGAAAGAGAGAGAGTGGGAGAGAGAGAGAGAAAGGTATGAAGAGAGAGAGAGAGAAGGAGAGAGAGATGAAGAGAGAGAGAGAGAGGGTGAGGAAGAGAGAGAAAGAGACGAAAAGGGAGGGAGTGAGAGAGAATGAGAGAGGAAGAGAGATATGAAGAGAGATATAGGAAGAGAGAGAGAGAGAAAGGAAGAGAAAGAGAGAGAGAGAGAGGGGAAGAGAGAGAGAGAGGGAGAGAGAGAAAGATGGAGGGAGAGAGAGAGAGAGAGAGACTCCAGACCTCCAGCATCAGAGTCTCTGACCGGTCCTCAGACCCGGTGGTCAGAACTGAGAGGAGTCAGTCCGGAAACATCCGCTGGCACGTGCGCGTGAGCACCGCGTGGTCGCGCACGCGGCCGTGGCACGCGCCTGAGACGCGCGCTCCCGGCACCGTTTGGCTCTATCGGGACTCAGCACGCGGACTCTGAACGGAATAAGGGAGGAGGAATAATAACCGACCATGAAACTCTCTGCCGTGCGTCCGCGTGCGTGTGTGGCGGGAACGCGCACGCGCTCCTGGTGACGCGCACGTCCTCCGGGTCTTTTTGGGTCTTTTTGGGGTCCCCTGGGTCTTTTTGGGGGTTCCCCGGGTCTTTTTGGGTCTTTTGGGGTCCCCCGGGTCCTTTTGGTCCCCCGGGTCCTTTTGGGTCTTTTTGGGGTCCCCTGGGTCTTTTTGGGTCTTTTGGGGGTTCCCCGGGTCTTTTTGGGGTCCCCCGGGTCTTTTTTGGGGGTCCCCCGGGTCTTTTTGGGTCCCCCGGGTCTTTTGGGGTCCTGCCGGTCCTGCTGGTCTTTTGGGGTCTTTTGGGGACTTTTGGGGACTTTTGGGAACTTTTTGGGTCTTTTAGGGTCTTTTGGGGACTTTTGGGAACTTTTGGGGTCTTTTAGGGTCTTTTGGGGGTCTTCTGGGTCTTTTGGGGGTACCCCGGGTCTTTTGGGGTCCTGCGGTTCTTTTTGGGTCTTTTGGGGACTTTTTGGGTCTTTTTGGATCTTTTTGGGTCTTTAGGGGTCTTTAGGGGTCTTTTTGGGTCTTTAGGGGTCTTTTGGGGCATTTTTGGGTCTTTTGGGGACTTTTTGGGTCTTTTTGGGTTCTCCAGTCTTTTGGGGGTCCTCCGGGTCTTTTGGGGTCTTTTGGGGGTCCCCTGGGTCTTTTTGGGGGTCCCCTGGGTCCTCCGGGTCCTGCTGGTCTTTTTGGGTCTTTTGGGTCTTTTGGGGACTTTTGGGGTCTTTTGGGGGGTCCCCTGGGTCTTTTTGGGTCTTTTGGGGGTCCCCCGGGTCTCTTTGGGGTCCTGATGTGGATCCGGATGGTGCTCCGGGTTCTGGCTCTGGCCGCCTGCCTGTCGCTGCTGCTGACCGCACACCAGAGACCCGGAGCAGGTAGGGGACGCACACGCACGTGCACGTGCACGGGGTCTGGGTCTGGGTCTGGGTCTGGGTCCTGGTCTGGGTCTGGGTCTGGGTCTGGATCAGCTCTGGGTCTGGGTCTGGGTCTGGGTCTGGGTCCTGTTCTGGGTCTGGGTCTGGGTCCTGGTCTGGGTCTGGGTCTGGGTCTAAGTCCTGGTCAGGGTCTGGGTCTGGGTCCTGTTCTGGGTCTGGGTCTGGGTCCTGGTCTGGGTCTGGGTCTGGGTCTAAGTCCTGGTCAGGGTCTGGGTCTGGGTCCTGTTCTGGGTCTGGGTCTGGGTCCTGGTCTGGGTCTGGGTCTGGGTCTAAGTCCTGGTCAGGGTCTGGGTCT